ACAGGCAACGAGATGAGAGAGACGGTGCTAACGCTGCTTGAGCAAAGTTGGCTTCTCAGATTTAAGCAATGGATGCAGGTTATGTGGGTGTATGTCTGATGTGCACAACTGCTTTACAGTCTTTTATCTGTTTTAGTAATACTCGCCACATACTTTCTACACATTACTTCAGGCAACCTTAAATTCTTTCCTGCATAGTTTGGAGGAATGGATGACGAGCTGTAAGTATCATACCTGCCATGTACTTTTGCTCTGTCAGTTACGTTCTTTTTTTACTTCTCTCCTTACTCATTCAAAACACTCTGGGCTTAGACTTACACAATGACACTTTGTCAACAATAAGGGTCAATTGACAGGTAACAGGTAAATCATTGCATCTTGTGTATGGCAATCACACATCAGCAAGTGTATATAAGCAGTACGTTAGTTTAAATAACCTGGTTAGGTCACAGCAGGAAGCTCCTCGTATCTTCTGCCATTCGTTCGATAAAAAAGACATACAGGAAAAACTAAGATGTTGGAAGCAGGGATTGTTCATAGAAATATCAGATGTTGCAGAGAATGTTTTTCAGGTTTGTAGGAATGCCTTTGTGACGCACCCGTGTTCAAACAACGCCTTCAGTCATCACCAAAACTCTGCGTGTTAGCTTTAACTGGCTGGAGCCTCTCCTATCGGGTCATGCTTCACTTCTTATCTTTATAAACACTGGAGCTAAGGGAAGGTTGGACATAGGCTTTGCCAACTCAGCTATAACCAAGCTATGATGTCTTTTGAAATGTTTTTATGATTTATACAAAGCAGAAGATTCTGAACTCACCATCATATTTTGAATTGATTGGTTCTGAAGAAACTATGTATGCGGGTGTGAATCTTACATAATTTATTTTGATTGTTATTCTTAGGCTCATGATTTCATTCAATATCAATCCGATGCTAATATCAGGAGAAATGAAAGCTGAGTAAATTGTTCATGTACACACACAAAGGCAAAAGATACAATTATTCATGCGCACAAATAAACAGTTTGATCATGTATTAATTCTCACTTCTTTCAAGACTAACAGGTTCATGTTCTGTCGCCGGCTAGCAGTAGTTTTATTTTTCACGTGGGGGAGCTCAGATTCTGGTGACTGAGAGAACTTAATGCATCACTTCTTTGAGCGATGTGTTAACTGACCTTCGTTAGCCCAACAACCAGTGATTGCCTGTCTGTGTCATGCAAAACACTTTTCTCAATAAAACCTGCATTTGTTTTATCTGAACCAAACCAGTTCTTGGCCCAAAATCAGTTTTGGTTTCTGATGACCTGACAACTGCAGTGTTTTCCTTTTTTTAAATTGTTCCACTGTGAGTGAAGTTCTATGAAACCAAAGTTTATATTAGAAATTGTGACATCAACATAAAAACTTGACAGGTGAATTTCAAATGATGTAGAAGGCAAAACCGTTTGACGTCACCCGAAGACCCCATGATATTATGTAACCATGCATCATGGGATATTTTTTCTTTCCAGACTTCAACGCTAATTCCGCTACTGATCGAGTTTTGTTCATCTTGGCATCAAAAGTTTCACGATATGGCTCCTCAAAGCTGGATGGTGCTGACCGTGGTTAAGGTCTTAATTTGAAGCGAGCTCTGTCACAAGATGTAGAGCTAATCAATGATCTCCTGATGTACAACCTGTGCAGGACATGATCATAATATTTGTTTGAGTCTCCTGATCTTCCTGATCGTCTCATGCTAAGCTTTGCATGTGTAGGTAATACCCGTCCATCAGGCACGAAAGTTCAGTGATTTGATAATAATATTAAGTTTTTTACAATTGTAACTAACGATGCATTTCCTTAAACGAGGTGCTCTCAAAAATGTCTTTCAAATGAGTTGTAAGTAGCTGGAAAGTCTTCAGTAATACATGAGTATTATCATGATCTTTATAAACTAAAGGATATTGCAAGTCTTTGATGTTCAAAGAAGTAACACTGGTATTTTATCCATTTGTAGTTGTTCCTGGTGTTTCTTCATTCATAGCCTGTTTTAAGTGTTAACAGTAGAACTATCCTGCCATCCAGCTTTAAGCCAAGAAAGTGAGTATTCAATTAGGCCTGACTGTATTTTTCAGTTCATCTTTTTTAAGTTATTTGGCGGTGCGTACCTTGGCAAAAACATTGCAGGCCTTATGTGTGTTTAATGGATAAGGTTTAACTTATACATATTGAATTTACTCAGGAAGGTGGTGTTGATTGAATTTGAACATGTAGTTTCAATGTTAACATGCAACCAGGGCTCGAGCTTAAGGACGTCCCGTCGTCCGGGGCCGGAAAAAATAGTGTCGGGGAGGATAAAAAATAATTTTGGGACGAATTTGGGACGAGAGTTAAAATAAAAATACCCTGCTAACTCTACTACAAACAGCGATGAAAATGTGTAGCACACAGTTATTAAACCTCCTTGTCAACATAAACACACACGCACAAAACATTTAGCAACCCGCGAAATACACACACACAGTACGTAGCTACAGCTGTTCGCGGGTCTAGCTATGTACTGAGTGTGTGTATTTTGCGGGTTGAGTGATGTACAATGGCATCCCGTGGAGGAATTCTGAAATGTTTTACCGTTAATCACAAAAACGCACAGCAGAACCAGACCCTGGAGCGCCGGCCTCTTTATTTACTTACTCCTCTTCATCCCCTATGGGTAATAAGGCTGAGAAGAGAACCCTCCATCGTATTTAGTCCTTAGCAATATGCTGCGCCTCTCCCCACGTAGGGACGGGTACCGAGCCCCGGTATTTAACGGGCCCCGGGCCGGAATTATTAAAGACAGTGGTGGTAACGTTAAGCTCCGACGTTATCGGACTTTTTATCGGTACTGGAGACATTTAAAAAATATGTCATGTATTATTGCTACATACACATTATATCGCAGTTTTAGTTTAGACAACTCCGTTTCTAATATGCAATAAGACTACAACATGCGTCTATGATGTATTTTCGAGCTTTCCAATCCAGACGAGATCTCTCTCTCCCGTCTGTGTGCGAGGGGGCGGGCCGTTTGTAAAGGTCTCCTGACTGTGTTACAGACTGTCATCCTGGTTAGTGGTTACTCTGGGCTCTGTCTTCAGGTTGGATTGTTTTGTTAATTGGATGGGACTTGATTGGATTCAATATTAGAGTAATTTTTTCGTGTGTTTGTTTAAATATATTTGGCCTTGTTTATGTGATTGAATGATTTACTCAAATAAAAAGGTTGATGAATTATCATCTAATGTTTTATTTATGTTAAAGGTCACTTTGAATGATTTTAACTAATGATAATGTAGAAAAACTGACATTTTAAATTCGGGACGGTCCACATTAATTTCGGGACGGCTTAGATTGTATTTCGGGACGGTTCCGGGAGGATGGTGAAAAAAGTGAGTCGAGAGCCCTGCATGCAACGTATTTCCCCTTAGTTTTTTTGCATTCAAAATTGACTAAAAAAATGTGGATCCATTGAATAGGGATACAACATGTTGGATTTGGCAGGGGTTTTCCAAATGATTGTTGCTAACTACCTACCAATACAAAGTGCTACTTCAAAAACTTGGAGGGCGGGCTTTGTCACATATGAGAATAGCTGCTCCATCTAACAGTTGTTGTGTGTTCCCTCAGGAGTAGGCCGGTCACAATAATACATTTTGTTGGACGAGACATTTTCCTGTAAATTATTGCGATAAACGATGATATTGTCGGCACCGTTGTCAGACCATTTTAGATCACTGACATAATGATAATATGTAATAATAATTGAAGTACATCCTTTCAAACAGAACTTTTTTATTGAACATTCAACATTGCAAATTAAATGTGAAATAATATTCAGATATATAAATTATATATAATAAATAAAACAAATACATTAAATTATGAAACATTTATTAAATCACACACAACCTAAACAATACATTAAATAGTCTCTCCTCTCTCCCTCTCTCTCCTCCTCTCTCTATCTCTCTATATAAGGTAGATATATATAGCTATATATATATAATGAGATATTGATATATTATATAAATATATCATTTATATCTATAGTATCTACGGTATATATATCTATCTCAGATCTTTTCTTCTCTCTCTCTCTCTCTCTTCTCTTCTCTCGGTCTCTCTCTCTCTCTCGGCTCTCTCTCTCTTCTTCTCTCTCTCTCTCTCTCTCTCTCTCTCTCTCTCTCTCTCTCGGGTCTCTCTCTCTCTCTCTCTGTCTCTCTCTCAAATAAATATGAGCACACAATGTCTCACGAGCACAAAAAACCTCCTTAAAACAACAGTCCACTGTCCATACAAAGACCCAGATGCCTCAACAGGCCATATCCAAATCTGTATTTCTAAGTTTTCGAGCAAGGAACACCAACATGTTTGCATTGTCGGGCAAATGCATCTTTGATTGTAAACTGCCGGGAAGGTGGGGGCTCTCCATCTCCAGCTGCCGTGTTTGCTCCCAGCTGGGGAAACGGAATGGGTAGGTTAATAATAATAATTTCAATTTATATAGCGCCTTTCACGAAACCCACGGACGCTTTACAATGGGAACTAACTAAATACAACAACAGGTAATAATCATACAGATACATAGGTTGTGTTTCAGGTGCAGTTTAAGGTTGGTCGTATTGCTAGCTTTTGTTGCTACCTTTTTTAAACAAATGCGACATACCGGCTCGTTCAAGTCCGTAGGTTCGCCTTGTTGATTTGGCTAAAATCCAAAATATTCCCACACCGGAGATGGAGTTAGGTTTTGCGTAGTAAGTCACACGTTGTCTCCTGCTTGTCTCTATAGGCGCATTCACTCTTTAGTTCTCATGTAAACGGCAATTTATCGAGGTCCGAAAAGTTATCGAGTTCATTTTTATTTATCGTATGATAAGTCAATGAATTGCTTATCGCGACAGGCCTACTCAGGAGAGAGTACTCCAAATACAGAAATAATAATGCACTTGTGTTTGTCTTTCTTTTCCCACCAGGTCCTTTTACAGATGTAGTCACCACCAACCTTAAACTGAAGAACCCCTCTGACAGAAAAGTCTGTTTCAAAGTGAAGACGACTGCGCCGCGCAGATACTGTGTACGGCCAAACAGTGGTGTCATTGATCCTGGAGCAACTGTCATTATCTCTGGTATGTTTTTCAGATGTTTGTATTTATTACCTGCCTTTTTGCTGTAAGTTTAGGGAGATGGTGGGGAAACCTTTGAGGGAAACTGTCAGGAACATGTTGCAAAATGGGTCACAGTTCAAGAAGGTCAGACGCTCAGTGGAAGCAGTTTTTACCCAGTCAAATCCACAGAGTCCATCATTGGACACTCCAATTACCAAATTCGACAACTTTCCGTTTTCTTTTATAAAAATGCACAATCATTTCAAAGTATTTTACATACGATATCGTATTAATATACAAAACCATAGGTACTGAAACATAAGCCGACTTATTCATCAAAACATAGACATGTATGATTGGAGAATAGTTGTCTACCTTTTAATGATGCCTTAATGCAATGAAGACGGTAAGGTGAGCGAAGTGGAACAGCCTTTAAGGAAACATGATTTAAAACCTCTGGACCTATGGGCAAATGTAGGTTTTCAATCAGCTCTTTAGGGTCAAATTGGCCTCAATGGAGCTACTGAAACTCTGTTCATTGGTTTATCGACTCGTATTAAGGACAGTTTCCTTGGCCAAATTGGTGAAATGTAAAGTTTCCTTCAGTAACTGCTAGGGATGCTCCGATCGATCGGTCGGTGCTCTCTATAAAGGCCGATCAGGAGAGCCGATCACATGACGTAAAATACATGACACTTTTCTCTGTGCGGCAAAACAAACTCGCCAAAATGGCTTCACCGGTCTGGCAGTATTTTAAGGTGTCCGAAAAAGACAGTAAAATAGCGGTATGCAATGTGTGTGAAGCAGAAATCCTGCAGCTCCACCCGCTGTGACGCAAAACACACACTAAGAGTTAGACCTAACACACATAGCTATTTGATCTACCTCTGGAACTAGCTAAACTAGTTATACATATGTTTATTCTTCACTGTCGGGTCCCTCATTACTGGATCAGTGAGCTGCATGAGATACTGACGGGCTGTCAGGGGAGAGAGGAAAAGAGAGCGCTTCCGCTCATTTCTCCCGTGTTATTATCCGAAGTTAATGTAAACTTGAATAATGTACTTCATTTGAATCTAATAATTATGTTGTTTGTGGAAGCACATCATGTATTCATAGAACTTTTCGATCCGTTACGATTATAAACGGAAGGAATATAAAAAAGAGCCCCATTAACTGAGTTTTAAACATCACTTTAAATGGAAGATCCCCATAGCCCCCACCCACCCCATCGGATCGGCCGATGCTGATTCCGGCGATCGGCCCCAAAATTCCCGATCGGAGCATCCCTAGTAACGGCAGACTGCTTAAATAGCTGTAATGCGCTTTAATGATAACATCGAAATGTCCAAGGGTAACCTCTTCCACTGCTCCTACATCCTGATCCACTTGTCTTCTGTCCTAGGGTTTTCACAATATCAAAAATATGACTGATACATTACCTGCCTAAAGTTCATTCTAAACTGAAAATGTTTAGGAAAAAAGTGCCATATTTTGTCCGGGAGTCATATTTTTCTAAATAAAACACTTTCATTCTTTAAGTACCAAAACTAATAAAATGGGGTATTGTCCCAGTATCCCAAAACCTGATTAGTATCGGTATTCTGTGCAACATTTCTCTGCTCGGCATGTTCCAAACATTTGTATTATATCCAGAACGATGACATAATACACTGGTCATGTGTGAAGTGATTAAGGCAGCTGCTTAGTAAACACATTACCAATGTCCTTTGTAAATGACATTAACTCAAGCGGCAGCTGTAGCTTTTATGTTGAAAATGTACATTTTATTCACCTTTTTTATTACATTTAGAAGATAAAATGTTAATGTTTGTCAGGAGATAATAGTATGATTGAGTTAAAGAAAAACACATGATGGGGATTTTAACTTTTCTTTACCAGCATTATTTATTAGATAGCCTTCGATGTGGGAGGAATGTACCGTTTGAGATTATCATAGAAATAGTGATTTCCTGCTGACGGATGAATTATGCTAAATATGTAAGCTACAACTTCTTCTACTCAGGGATGCCTTTACCTAAATGTTTTAACTGTGATCATTGTTTCTTTTGCAGTTATGCTACAGCCCTTTGACTATGACCCCAATGAGAAAAGTAAACACAAATTCATGGTGCAGACCATTTTTGCCCCATCAACTGTTTCTGACATGGATTCATTGGTAAGTGTTTTTATTTACTTTTAAGACTTTTCCCGAAGTTGTTTTTTTAAAATCAATATAGCACAACATCTACTTATCTTGCGTTGTGTCACTAACCTTCTTATTGTTTGAAAAGTCTCACACCTTCTTAAGCTTTGAGATGATTCAAAAGCTAGAAATATCTCTGTGGGTTCCTAAGGTGTACATCTCGGCTCCCAAAAAATAAGGAACCAAACCAGTCGCATTAAAAACAATTATTCAAACTAAAGCTTGAGCAACTTTGATTTGATAGATTATTACCAAATGAGAGTAGGTCAATAAATGGATGAAAACAATTTTAAAAAAGTATCCAAAATACAGTGTGTGTGTTATATTCTGCAGTTTACAGTAAACTCAAAATAAGTCTTCAAATAATATTAAAACAGACCAATGGTAACATAACTCCATTGTTTACACTGAAAACCCAATTTCAATTGTTTATTGAACCATTTAACTTATTTAATACAGTTACAACTTGGTTGTTATTAAATAAAATAATCTGTAAAATATACTATTTTGTATTTTAAGTCTCGATCTCTCCCATTGTAACCGTAGCACTGAAACCTGCCAAAAGCACATCTATCAGTGAATACAATGTGAAACCCTAACTTCCACTCAAAATGTCACTTTAAATATTCGACAGGACTCTCCAAAAACAGGTTATTAGTCTTTTCGACACCACTACTAATTATGCCTAAATCAGTTTATATATAAATAAGGAATCTGAATGTTGTCCTCATTTATGATAAGGATAATTGGCATTCTAGTGAGTTGCCATGCAAAGCTCTGTGCTCTTAGATAAGTCTGCTATGGTAAAATAACAAACAAGCAGTGATGCATTCTGGGTTGTCCACCAGAGGACAGCACAGGCTTAGTCAGGCGCTGAAACATTCACATGAAGTCATGTTCATGAACTGGCTTGTCTTGGATGAGGAGCACAATCCAGGAAGGAACAACGTTAGGACTGCGCCTCAAAAGTCAACTGGAATCTGGAGTCTTCTTCAGGGACATTAGTTTCATTACTGATCTGTGTTATATATTGTGACACAAAAATATATCTCTTACCATAAAGCAACCCTGGGCTTTACGAGCATTTTTAATACCAAGCACCTTTGTAATTCAGTTTATAAAACAACAAATGTTTCAGATGTCAGGAGCAGACCTAAAACCAATTTAAAATATGTACACTTGTTTTTGTTTTAGATAAATTACAGATTATAATTCTTTTTGAAGGAGTCTGTGCATGTTTAATGTAATGTCCATAGATTCAGGGCTGCATTGTATGTGAATAGGACTGGTCAAAACGTGTGTGTGTGTGATCCAGCTGCTAGCAGTTGGAGTTGATGAATAACATGCCCATTTTTCATCTCCACCAGTGGAAAGAGGCAAAACCAGATGATCTCATGGATTCCAAGCTGAGATGTGTTTTCGAGCTGCCTTCTGAAAACGATAAAGTGGTAAGAGGTGCTGCCGCACATTAAAAACGGCTTACTTTCACATAATCAGAATCTGAAGTGTGATTTAGTCGCTGAAGGACACATTTTGAATACTCAACTTTGAACATTTGCAGAAAATCAAAGAATTCCATAAAGGGAAAAACATTTGGGGAAAATCCACAGCTATAATATCAATGAAGTATAGGGTGCCGTTCTGATGAGAAACCCGGCCTATGTTTAATTGTTTAAAGAAAATACAAAACCGTAGCTTCTGGTTTTCTTTCCCTCTAATGTGAGTGTTTCTTACTCTTGACACCAGGTCCCTCTGTCAGAGTTTAACAAATGTGCCTTCTGCACTGCATTTAGCATTTTAGCAGATAATGTCACTTGCTGCCTAAATCAAGCGCTCCAGTGTGAATACCAAGCGCAGCTGCATAGAAAGCTTTCCATTTTTACATCAAGCCCTAGTTCAGAGTCAAATAAGTCGTGTGTTCACAATAAAATCGATGGTTTAGACTATTATTGAGAGACATGGTGAACCCTTGCATCTTAAATGTAATTTCATTTAGCATTTCAATTCATTGTGTTTCTTATGATTTGCCAATCCCTAAGTCAAACATGACACACACCAACTTAACCTTTATCTGAGTGTTTGCAAAAAAGCTATGTACATTTTATCACATGCCGTTAAAAGGTGGATTGCATAAATGTTTTCTTAGTTAACAGGCTACACTGTGAATTCTAGGAGCCTGTAATAATGAGCTCTGTGTTTTCAGGATTTATATAAGCAGTGCCGCCGAACAGCTCAGCAGGTCCTCACAGTTGAGGTGGAAAATGCAACCAGGGCAAGCCAGATTTAGCTTACGTTAAGAGGCTCGACAGTGAGGATATATGGACTGCTGAGGCAACACGGTATCTGCTCTCTGCTGTGGCACGTGGAGCTCCTAGAGCAGGGGTCGGCAACAGGCGGTCCGCGGTCCGGGTCCGGACCCAGACGCTGACCTATACGGACCCGGACTTATAATCAATACATTAATAGGAGATTTCAATTTTGACGGGACGATTCTATTTTAACCGCTGCCGACGGGGGCCGAAAGAAACGAGTGAGCGATACAGGGAGAGAAACACAGAAGAAGAGATGAGAGAGCAGCAGAGAGAAGCGGAGAGGAAAGTGAGTGAAGAGAATAATTAGCGATACAGGGAGAGGAGAGTGAACAGGCGTGTTAGCGGCAGACAGGGAGAGACAAATAATTACACATGGCGCTCTCCAAGAAGAGGAAAGTGGACAGTGAGAACAGAGCTTTTAACCCTGAGTGGACTCGTTCATGTTCATCCTGCCCACTGGGAGCACAGAGCCAGTGTGTCTCGTTTGTTCAGAGACCGTGGCGCTCATTAAAAGTGCCAAAACGCCACTATGAGACAAAACACAAAGTGTTTGACCAAACATTCCCTCTCAAGTCAGAACTGAGGTCACAACAAATAAATATCGTTCCAGGGCAGGCTAACCGAGGCTAACCAATGAGCACCTGCATGTGTGTATGAGAATGGCCCTGACACCATTTCAGCCCAGATCTAAACTCCTGGCAGGACAAGCTTGAGCTCAATTCTCGCACTGAATAAAAAACAAAGTGAGAGAGGGACTGCAATATAAGAGGGAAAGAAAGAGAAACTTTAAAACCGTTCAATTGTTATGATGTGTAAAGACTGATATTGTTCTATAATCGGCTGAAACAGTTAAGTCATGATGTGGAACGGTTAACAAAGAAAAAGGGAAACTCAAGCTGCTGCTACACTTTATTTTATTTATCTAAAATGAAGCACTTTTAAGATGCACATATTTTCAAAAGCTATTTTATTTATTTTACTCTATTTATTTTTAAATGCAGCCCGAGAGGAACATTACACATATCCACAGTATTTACTGTATATCTGTGTAGTTCAATGTTAATTGACAAAATATATATAAATATTGTTGTTTATTAATTGTACTTTCTTTCTTTGATTGGCAGTCAGTTGTTGATTACATGCAGACGTTAAGCTGCAGGCTACTTCAATATATATCACACTAATTCATAAATCAAGTTAGACATTTTGAAGCTCAGGACCTTTGCATGGGGACATTTTCTCTAACTGGACCTCGTTGAATTTTAGTTGAATACCCCTGTCCTAGATCAGTGTTTCTAAAACTTTTTCATGCCAAGGACCACTTAACCAATAAAAAAACACTCGCGGACCACATAACTCCACAAATATCCAAAAACACATTGTTTTTTACAAATCGCCTGAAAATGGTACAAACAAGTGGCCACATGTGTGATGAAGGTGTTTATCTGGGCTATATCATGCAATTGAAAGTGAAACTTAAGCTCGCTCCATTGCGGAGATATTCTCGCGAGAGAGCGGAAAACTTTAATTAATTAATTCATTTCAAATGTGAAATTTTACCAATATACTCACGGACCACTAGGGGGCGCTCACGGACCACCAGTGGTCCGCGGACCACACTTTGAGAAGCACTGTCCTAGATGATGTGCAAACTGTTAAGTATGTAGCTTTGTAGGATGTAGAGTAAGAGCTAATGTTATAATGTTGACATTTCGGAGCAACATTTCTTTAGTATTGAAGAATGAGTTATCAAACAAAAATAAAATGTTTTTCTTTTAGTATCAGAAATTCTGAAGAACAGAGAGTACTGGTTGACCGAGTTTTAAAGATGGATCTGTGAGGCAAAAGGAATAATCCCACGCTCTGTTAATCACTAATTATACCAGATGAAGCCTGAGGGAAATATAAAGCGACCACAAGTTATTGTCCGTGTTGAGGGAATTAGTTTTTAGGTTTAGACAACATCCAAGAACTTGCCAGATTTTAAGTATTGTTGATTTTACACAGTTAGTGAAGGAAGTGTGAAGTGATGTGTTAGGACAATAACCTTAGTTGATTTTTGGGATGCTTGAATATACTTTGTCGGTGCCTACATTAATAAAACACATGTTCCCACTTGTTAACCCCAGTCTCAGGCCCACACCCTCTCTGTGTGACAGAAGAGGACCGTCATTTAAGATTGGTCATCCATGTGTTTGTTGTTGCCCTTTATTGATATCACGTGGTAGAAAAAGGAGCTAGGCCTTGATGTTTCTCCACATAAATGCTTTCCTTGGCTTGCGGTACAAGGCATAATAACATCATATCCTGTCTGTGTATTGATTGTCAACCCTCATCTACAATACAGTTGTTGTATTTTCACTACAAAGCGCTCTCCATGCCGTCATGTTGTCCGTCCCATGAAACAAAGCCACATCAAACCCGACCTCTGGAGCGACGCATTTCCTCGCTGGTCTCTTTGATCTGTGAGCTTCTGAGCCTCAGACATGCTGCCTTTCTCTGGCTCAGCCTCCCGTCTCGAGGCTAACCTCCCTACTTAGCTCCGGGCATGCTGGATTTCACTTCAGTGGTTCTCTCTCTCTCTCTCTTTACTCGTTGGGCAGAATGACGTGGAGGCGACCAAAGCAGCCCCGGTGATGAACTCTGCGAAGTCCGACTCCTCAGCATCCTCGGTGCCTCTCACTGCCTCCCTGGACGACCCGGAGATGAAGAAAGTGATGGAGAAGTGCAAGAGGCTGCAGAATGAGATGAACAAGATGACCGACGAGAACCGGCAATTAAAGGTTGGATGTGTAAATATATTATATTCAAGATGAAACTTTGTCGCAGTCATTTTGACTTTCCAAAGTAAGACAAACACAGGT